TTGTGTCCTGTGTTAGTTTTGCTCCCATCTTTTATCGCTCTGATTCTTCTCACCTATTCTTAAACCACCTTCTGCGTCTTACAGCTTTGGTTGGATTTGTGTATTTTTTTTTGGTTTAATATCCAGCCCTGGCTGATTGTGACCTACACTCGTTTTCACACCTTGGCTCGTGTGATTAGGTAGAGGATCAATAGGGGGTCCACGACCCTCTTATGGGGACACTCACATAACACTTAAATACCTGGGGCTCTCCACCAGTTGCTCTTAGAACTGAAGAAGCTTCTCAGATGTGAAACGTCTTCAAGGAAATGTAAAGAAGTCTGGATGCTTTTCTTTCCGAGCTCCTTAGACTACGACGTACGATGTTGTGGATGAGTTTGCTTCTTGGTGTGATTAGTCATTCTTAAAGATCAACACCTTTGAAACTAAGGACATGGTTATTGACTTCAGGAAGCCATCCCCCATCCTGCACTGAGACTGCTGCCATTGAACTGGTTGTAAGAATTTGGGGGTTGTTCTTGATAAGGCTCTGTTCTTTGAGTCACATTTTGATTCCACAGTGAAAAAAAGTCCAACAAAGCTGTACTTTTTAAGGAGTGTTGAACATTTCAGGTGAAATGATGACCCTTTTTATAAAGTTTTGTTGAATCAGTTTTAATGTTTTGTATTATTGCTTGTAGGGCTGTTCGATGTAACGATATATATTGGATGACGATATAAAAACGTTTATTGTTGCATTTTACGCTATCGTTTGTTTCGTGGTGTCGCAAAATAAGCTGTTTACGGCAATATTTTTTCATTGTTCTGATGTCACTGTAGTTATTAATTTCTTAAAGTTCTCTCTTTCTCTTATATTTAATATAACCACACTACAGACAGACAAGCGCCTGTTTTTATGGGTTGTCGTTAGCAACAACGATGATAAGACCATCGCGTGTCTGCTTGTTTATTTTCCACATAAACCTTTCACAATAAAGCACAAGATCCTGTTGAGACTTTTTAAAAATAAACTGAATCACGTGAAAGATGCAGAGTATTTATGGATGAGAAGCAAAAAAAAAGCCGTCAGGTGCTAAAAAATAAATCTTAGACTCAAACGTTAGAACAGGCTTTTCCCCGCAGCACGCCGTGTAATAAATACTCACAAAGAAAACGGCG